CTTGGTAGTGTAACATACATATTACGTCACAAACATAAATCATTTCCGTTTTTTTTTCCTTATGTTTGTATTGGAGTCTTCTTCACTTTATTGGAAAGCAAAACATTCCCAAATGTCATTCCTTTTTGCAGGCTGGGTTAATATTGGTGGAATTAGGTTTTCAGAGCCTAAGTGTTATAATACATTTTGGCACCGCCACATTCGATTGCTGGGTTCGTTAAACTTACAAAGCGAAACAGCCGTTGAGGTCTTCATAGCAAATCAGGCGCCACAAACTTCCACGGATAATCCCCGCGATTTCTATTTTCAAACACGCCCTTGACGATCTTAAAAGAGAAAATACAGGACATGGGAACAGGGTAGCCTTTTCCCAAGTTTTAGAGATTTCTAGGCAATACTTGCTCCTTCCAACAATATTTTACAGTTAATGTATCTCTATACACATGTACTATCTCTTTCCATGTTGATTACACCATTTCTCAATGATTTATCAGTTTAGCACTTAAAAGATGACAATACTTTGCCCAACTTCGTTCAATAATTGATTATTACTCACATCTAGGGGCCATTTATGGTTAGAGTTACTTTTCATGGTTGATTATTACATTTATGGGTGATACAGCAAGCCAGCTGGGAGCTGGTGATTTAATTGGTTCGCAATAAACCAGGAAAGGAGTATAATATGATTGCTGCGGAGCGAAGGAAGGGAGCGAGCAGCAACATAATCAGGATTTAAAGGAAATATATAAGGGGCGACGAATTCTCGAATTCATCACTTTTTACCACAATGCATTGCATTTAACCAGAGTGCATTGCGCCACGAACAACTCAAAGAAAAACACGGGAAAGTTCGGTGGGTGAGAGAGTGCATCGTTCGCTGCTCAGAGTTTTCTTTGTGGCAAATTTCCTACAGCACGGTTAGAGGTCTTACCAAATTTTAAGACACGCAGGAGTCTTTCAGATGAGTACGATGGTTAAGGTGTTTCGATACAGTTTTTCAAAGGCCATACCGATATTTTTCAATCGCCTTAAAATTAGTTTTTTCCTTGTCCGATCGCTATAAAATTTTCACCAGTAATTGGCTATGGATTGAAATTTGTGAAAAGTAGTTTTAAGTAAAATCGATATTACTATGACAACAGTAAAGAAAAAATTTTGAAATTGATAAAAGCCGAATTTTGTGTGATCTAGACCTGCTACTGAAAATCCAACACTAGGAACTTAAAGTTTGGTGTTTAGCAAACAATCTCCGTAAGAAGTAAAAAATTCTGTATGTTTGAATTCGAATAAAACGAAAATATATTTCAAACCTTAAATTTTCAATAGCCGTGATAGGTTATGTAATAAAAACGTTATAAATGACTCAAATTATTCTTAAGTAGCGTAAGAATGATGCTTAATATCATGTTTTGATGCTAGGAAATTTTGGTGTACTTTCGTTCATGCGATATTGAAATCTAACCTGTTTTCTCACCATCTGTATAAGTGCAACTTCATTCAGAATTTGGACTTTTAGCGCTTTCTTGTATATCTCCGAAACGACTCGAACGAATTTTTTCAAAATCTCTTCACATAATCTTCATAATGTATATAAAAATGTCCGAAACTTTCATTAAGATTGATTCACTGTAACACCTTGAAATTTCAAGACAAACCTATCCGACGAACCGGTCAAAAATCTGCGCTCCAACATTCACTGTTTTGACGTTATGGTAATTTTTCCAAATTAATGCGGACAATACATATATCCATGACTAGTACATTTCAGTGTGAGTATTGCCAATATTTTACATTCAAAAGATGCGATAAATTCAAACTAAGATGTACTAGTCATGGAGGTATGTATAGTGCGCATTATTCTGGAAAAATTAGCATAACGTCAAAACAGTGAATGTTGTAACGCAGATTTTTGACCGGTTGGTAGGACAGGTTTGTCTTGAAATTTCAAGGTGTTGCAGTGAATCAATCTTAATGAGACTTTCGGACATCTTTATATACATTATGAAGATTATGTGAATAGATTTGAAAAAAATTCGTTCGAGTCGTTTCGGAGATATACAAGAAAGCGCTAAAAGTCCAAATTCTGAATGAAGTTGCACTTATACAGATGGTGAGAAAATGGGTTAGTTTTCAAGATCGCATGAACGAAAGTACACCAAAATTTCCTAGTATCAAAACATGATATTAAGCATCATTCGTACGCTACGTAAGAATAATTTGAGTCATTTATAACGTTTTTATTACATAACCTATCACGGCTATTGAAAATTTAAGGTTTGAAATATATTTTCGTTTTATTCGAATTCAAACATACAGAATTTTTTACTTCTTACGGAGATTGTTTGCTAAACACCAAACTTTAAGTTCCTAGTGTTGGACTTTCAGCAGCAGGTCTAGATCACACAAAATTCGGCTTTTATCAATTTCAAAGTTTTTTGTTTACTGTTGTCATAGTAATATCGATTTTACTTAAAACTACATTTTCACAAATTTCAATCCATAGCCAATTACTGGTGAAAATTTTATAGCGATCGGACAAAGTAAAAACTACTTTTAAGGAGATTGAAAAATATCGGTATGGCCTCTGAGAAACTGTATCGAAACACCTTAACTTGGGGATTGGATTTCAATTCAAGAGCCTTTGACTCGTCCAGGTGTTAAACCTGACGAGAAGATGAGCATTTGCTCTTCGACTCCGCAACACGGGGGATATACAAATTCCAGCTTGCTAGAAGGTGATGTGAAAGTGAGAAATGTCATGCCATGCTATTCTTAAGAAACTGTGTGAGCCGAAAATGGATGTGATTTTGACCATTCGCTTCAAAATAACAGCGGAAATCGAGATAACAAAACATATGTTTTGTGTCCTACTTTGCAGACGAAAACGTGTATCGGCGTTTTGAAAAGCATAATTATGTTCTTTCATTCATTCATTGCCATGGAATATGCGTTTACATTGTTTTTTCACTGTTGAGTAGCTCGGTTAATGCGGCTGGCGATAATCTTGCTGGCGGAAGTTTCATGGAAAAGGAATAAAATCAAGACTTTTCCTACAAAATTACGTAATCAGCTTCTGTGGTGTAGTGGTTAGGTGTAGTCGCGTCGAGCCCAAGGTGCAGGGTTTGAGTCATACCGAATTCATCATTCCTTCTTTCTTTTTTTTCCGCTTTTTGTGTTGTTGTTTTCTATAAATATATAGCTAAATAACTGTTACTTAATAAAGTGCAACAAACAGCAAGAAAAGTATTGTGTTTCCAGAGAAAATATCGTGCACCGTATATTAAATATATGGATAAACAATCTGAAGTTCTATTATTTCCTACAATTTACTGTGGGAAAACCAGAGTTATAACCACTTGATCATTTTCTAAACAACGTTCCCACGAGTTCTTTCTATAGACTGATAGTAAATATTCTAGTACTTTCCAACATGTAGATAGGACATTCAATGTCATTTTCGATTCTTTTAAGTCTCACTGCCTAACTAATGCCAGTATCAACAGAATCTGCCGCAGCAATACTATCTTTTAGATACCCTAGTATATAATGAATATTTAGCAATTATTGAATGAAGAGGAGCAGGATGTGAAGAATTCTACAGATTGGGGAGGAAGTTATCGGCCGAGGTGGATAACATCGTCCAAGACCTTCCGAAAGCCGAATTAAATAATTGCTTCAATAGTCATTCAATATATTTGTAATAACAAGCTTACCTTCTCAAAGACTTGCTTCAAAACTTTGGCCTATTTCTCAGCATGGTTTCGCGATATAACATATGTTTTCCTTGCAGATACTCCTCAAAAGTAGACAACATCCTTCCAGCGATATGTTTAACGTATTCTTGCATTTCTTTTGTTCAGTTAGTTAACAATTCAGCTATTTCGCCTTTGGATAGCCGTGAACGCCATTTTCTGTTTATGGTTAACTCAGGAACAAATTAAAGAGCTAGGCTGCCGCGTCTGGAAAGGAGTTTGATCGACTGTCTATCATAAATTACAGGCCCGTTAAGGAACGAAGTTGAAAGTGACAGGGCACAACTGTTGTGGGCCGAGCCCAAGTTAGAGGGGGGGTCTGGAAGCATGCTTCCCCAGAAAATTCTTAAATCTAGGGGCTCGGAAATGCTTTTCCCTGCGTTATCCACAGGACATTTTAATAAATACGAAAGAAAATGCAAATGGTTAGAATATATTTTACCTATCTCTAATGTTGTCGTTAAGGTACAATGTTAGAGGGAAAAAAATGTAAACAGTGACCCAATGGAGGAAATTACAAGCAATGGACGAGATCAGTAGCCTACATGACGACAGCCGTCTTTCATCGTCGTCCCTGCGAAACATCACTAGTGACGAGGAGCGAGGAGAGACGGCTGTATGCGCTGGCTAAGGACGAGACAGAGCTCAAAAAGACTTGAGGAGGTCAAAAATTAATTAGCCCTAACAACATATTTTATAAAATCGAAAGAAGAATTGGGTTGTGTTATTCATTCAGCATTTTCAACGGTAAAGTGGTGGTCTTCTTTTTTAAAAAATTTTCGCCCAAAAAATGAAGGGCACGGGCACGGGCACTTCATAAGATGTAATGACAAATATTAGAAACAAAAGTTAGACTGGGTAAGTAAAGATATCAAACAGAGTGGGGAATCCGTCAGGAGTAAGAGAGAACCTGGGTTCGCCGATTTTCAAGGCTTGTGACTGAAACAGCTGTATTTTCCAGAATTTTTAACAGTACTGTGTATGATAGTAAATATTAGGTTACAAACTGCTCTGTAAAACTATTTTTTTCATAGATATTCTGCATTTGCAGATTCAACAAGTATAGAATAGGCCAAAGAAATGATAGTCCAACACTTATAATAATGACCTACCCCAGAAAATCTTACACGAAAGCTTGATTATCTTGCCCAAGAAGTTGAACTGTTCATTTAAAAAGACGTTAAGAATCGTGTTTCCACTTTCTTACTCTTAAAATTTTTTTTTCGTCAAGGTCAAGAAAAAAGGGTCATGGACAACATCTCGGAGTTTGTACAGACCATTCATATTGGTGCAGTCGTTGCTACTTTTCTTTTCAACAATGGACGTATTATAAAAGCGGTGGACATCTTTAACGAATGTTTGGTGCTCCTTAACGGTAAAGCCCTAGAGACAATCAAAGAAATTATCTATGTATACCATAAACTTCTTGATGGCTATGCTCTTATGCACGATCACACCCGTGCAATAGAATGTGGTAAAAAGCTTCACATGACACTACACAATAGTGATCAAAAAGAAGAAGAAGGGATGATATTACTTAAACTAGCTCACATCTACTATCAAACAAGCAAATACGAGAAAGCAAAAGAGTTTTACGAGAAGGCTCTCAGCATCGCGATTGACGCTGGAAGCAATCATGGGGTTGGAGTATGTTACAGAAATCTAGGAATTGTGTTTGAATCTGTTGGGCAATATACCAAGGCTGAAGAATATCTTCAGAAAGAACTAGTGATAAAAAAAGAAATCGGTGACAAACAAGGAGAAGCGTCCGCTTACGGAAGTCTAGGAACTGTGTTCCAGTGTGTTGGTCAATGTACCAAAGCAGAAGAATACCTTCAAAAAGCACTCTTGATCAGGAAAGAAATCGGTGACACAAAAGGAGAAGCGTCAGACTACGGAAACCTAGGAATTCTGTTTCTAGCTGTTGGTCAATATACCAAGGCAGAAGAATACCTTCAGAAAGCACTCTTGATTAGGAAAGAAATCGGCGACAAAGAAGGAGAAGCATCTGCTAACGGAAATCTGGGAACTGTGTTTTACTCTGTTGGTCAATATACCAAGACTGAAGAATACCTTCAGAGAGCACTAGTGATCAGGAAAGAAATCGGTGACAAAGAAGGAGAAGCATCTGTTTACGGAAATCTGGGAGCTGTGTTTGCATCTGTAGGTCAGTATACCAAGGCAGAAGAATACCTTCAAAAAGCACTAGTGATCAGGAAAGAAATCGGTGACAAAAAAGGAGAAGCCACAGACTATGGAAATCTGGGAGCTGTGTTTAAATCTGTTGGTCAATATACCAAGGCTGAAGAATACCTGCAGAAAGCACTAGTGATCAGGAAAGAAATCGGTGACAAACAAGGAGAAGCGTCTGCTTACGGAAATCTAGGAACTGTGTTCCAATGTGTTGGTCAATATACCAAAGCAGAAGAATACCATCAGAAAGCACTAGTGATCAGGAAAGAAATGGGTGAAAAAAAAGGAGAAGCCACAGACTATGGAAATCTGGGAGCTGTGTTTAAATCTGTTGGTCAATATACCAAGGCTGAGGAATACCTGCAGAAAGCACTCTTGATTAGGAAAGAAATCGGTGACAAAGAAGGAGAAGCATCTGCTAACGGAAATCTAGGAACTGTGTTTTGCTCTGTTGGTCAATATACAAAGGCTGAAGAATACCTTCAGAAAGCACTAGTGATCAGGAAAGAAATCGGTGACAAAAAAGGAGAAGCATCTGCTTACGGAAATCTAGGAACTGTGTTTCAATCTGTTGGTCAATATACCAAGGCTGAAGAATACCTTCAAAAAGCACTAGTGATCAGGAAAGAAATCGGTGACAAACAAGGAGAAGCATCTGCTTACGGAAATCTAGGAACTGTGTTTCAATCTGTTGGTCAATATACCAAGGCTGAAGAATACCTTCAAAAAGCACTAGTGATCAGGAAAGAAATCGGTGACAAACAAGGAGAAGCATCTGCTTACGGAAATCTAGGAACTGTGTTTCAATCTGTTGGTCAATATACCAAGGCTGAAGAATACCTTCAAAAAGCACTAGTGATCAGGAAAGAAATCGGTGACAAACAAGGAGAAGCATCTGCTTACGGAAATCTAGGAACTGTGTTTCAATCTGTTGGTCAATATACCAAGGCTGAAGAATACCTTCAAAAAGCACTAGTGATCAGGAAAGAAATCGGTGACAAACAAGGAGAAGCATCTGCTTACGGAAATCTAGGAACTGTGTTTCAATCTGTTGGTCAATATACCAAGGCTGAAGAATACCTTCAAAAAGCACTAGTGATCAGGAAAGAAATCGGTGACAAACAAGGAGAAGCATCTGCTTACGGAAATCTAGGAACTGTGTTTCAATCTGTTGGTCAATATACCAAGGCTGAAGAATACCTTCAAAAAGCACTAGTGATCAGGAAAGAAATCGGTGACAAACAAGGAGAAGCATCTGCTTACGGAAATCTAGGAACTGTGTTTCAATCTGTTGGTCAATATACCAAGGCTGAAGAATACCTTCAAAAAGCACTAGTGATCAGGAAAGAAATCGGTGACAAACAAGGAGAAGCATCTGCTTACGGAAATCTAGGAACTGTGTTTCAATCTGTTGGTCAATATACCAAGGCTGAAGAATACCTTCAAAAAGCACTAGTGATCAGGAAAGAAATCGGTGACAAACAAGGAGAAGCAGCAGATTACGGAAATCTAGGAACTGTGTTTCAATCTGTTGGTCAATATACCAAGGCTGAAGAATACCTTCAAAAAGCACTAGTGATCAGGAAAGAAATCGGTGACAAACAAGGAGAAGCAGCAGATTACGGAAATCTAGGAACTGTGTTTCAATCTGTTGGTCAATATACCAAGGCTGAAGAATACCTTCAAAAAGCACTAGTGATCAGGAAAGAAATCGGTGACAAACAAGGAGAAGCAGCAGATTACGGAAATCTAGGAACTGTGTTTCAATCTGTTGGTCAATATACCAAGGCTGAAGAATACCTTCAAAAAGCACTAGTGATCAGGAAAGAAATCGGTGACAAACAAGGAGAAGCAGCAGATTACGGAAATCTAGGAACTGTGTTTCAATCTGTTGGTCAATATACCAAGGCTGAAGAATACCTTCAAAAAGCACTAGTGATCAGGAAAGAAATCGGTGACAAACAAGGAGAAGCAGCAGATTACGGAAATCTAGGAACTGTGTTTCAATCTGTTGGTCAATATACCAAGGCTGAAGAATACCTTCAAAAAGCACTAGTGATCAGGAAAGAAATCGGTGACAAAGAAGGAGAAGCATCTGCTTACGGAAATCTAGGAACTGTGTTTAAATCTGTTGGTCAATATACCAAGGCTGAAGAATACCATCAGAAAGCACTAGTGATCAGGAGAGAAATCGGTGATAAACAAGGAGAAGCATCTGCTTACGGAAATCTAGGAACTGTGTTCCAATGTGTTGGTCAATATACCAAAGCAGAAGAATACCTTCAAAAAGCACTAGTGATCAAGAAAGAAATCGGTGACAAAAAGGGAGAAGCGTCTGCTTACGGAAATCTAGGAACTTTGTTTAATTCTGTTGGTCAATATACCAAGGCTGAAGAATATCTTCAGAAAGCACTGACCATCAATGAAGAAATCGGAGACAAAAATGGTGTTGGAGCTTCATACTTAAATCTGGGAAAACTTTGTCGAGAATTTCAGCTTCATGCGAAGAGTCAAGAATATGCTAATAAAGCGCTTGAGATAAGTTACGAAATAGGGGACTTTGAAATGCAGTTTAACAGCCACCTTTCCATTGCTCTGAACGCGTTAGTGGCAGGAGGAAGCATAAATGAAATACGGCGAAATCTGTATGAAAGCATTCAGAAGTGCGAAGAAATGCATGATTTTTTAAGAGTGAGAGATCAATTCAAAATTTCTTTTTTTGATGAGCATGTGTCCCCTTACCTTCTTCTTTGTAGGTTGTTGATTGCTACAGGCAGTTATTATGAACCCCTTTACGTTGCCGAGCTTGGACGGTCCAGAGCCCTGACAGACGTACTGTCAGAAAAGTACTCTGTGGATAAAGGGGTATCAGTCAACACACAGTCATGGGTTGGTATTGAGAACATCATGAACAAAAATGCACTTAGTTCTTGTCTTTATGTTTGCTTCTTCGGTGATGATATGTACTTTTGGATCCTCAAGCCAAACAAAATAATAGATTTTCGACAAAAGACACTCCAAGAAAGTGCAGATAAAGTGTTTGGAAATCCGACATTTGGTGGCTCTCTTGATTTACGTCAAGACCAATGCGAAGATCGATCATTGTTTTCATGTGTAAGCTCCCCGCCATCATGCAAGCCGTCTCAGAGTGACAGCTTCGAATCTTTGCGTCTTATAGAAGAAGAGGACGATGAAAATCACGACTCTAAACCTTTAACCCTTTCTGATGGCTACAACATGATAGTCGCTCCTGTAGCTGACTTACTCCAAGAATCAGAAATCATTATTGTACCGGATAACTTGTTGTATCCAATTCCTTTTGCTGCTTTAATGGATGATAATGGAAAGTATTTATCGGATACTTTCAGGATTCGTATTGTCCCTTCCTTGACGACTCTTAAGTTGATTCAGCTCAGTCCAGAAGACTACCATAGTAAAACCGGTGCACTGATCGTAGGAGAGCCAGACGTTAGTGATGTCTACTACCAAGGAAAACTTCTACAGTTAATTCCATTGCCTTGGGCGAGAAAAGAAGCAGAGATGATTGGGCGACTGCTTGGCGTTCAACCGTTGCTTGGAAAGGATGCAACTAAGCAGGCAGTCTTGGAAAGCATGCATTCAGTAAGTCTCATTCACCTCGCTGCTCATGGTTACGCCGAACGGGGAGAAATAGCTCTTTCCCCTGTAAGCTCCTGCGGAACTCCACACGAACAACACTACTTGTTGACGATGGCTGAAATTTCACAAGTTCGACTAACAGCCAAGCTGGTTGTCCTTAGCTGCTGTCATAGTGCAAGTGGTCAGATAAGGGCTGAGGGAATTGTTGGAATCGCTCGAGCATTTCTAGCATCGGGTGCACGCGCCGTGTTGGCGGCACTGTGGGCTGTAGAGGACGAAGCTACCATGTGGTTTATGGATCGTTTTTACGAGCACCTTGTTCGTGGTGAAAGCGCCAGTGAATCTCTTCGCCAGGCCATGAAGTCGATGAGAGAGACTCGCTTTTCTGACGTCATGCAGTGGGCACCCTTTATGCTGATTGGAGATGATGTAACATTCAAAGGTTTGTATTTGATATAATTTTTAGGTTTTTCTAGCTGTTTTTAGTCAGAATATGTGAAATTAAGGTTTCTGACAACGCATTATTTTGAAAAATAGTAATGAGGGAGTTAAACTGAGTTTTGTTAGTTTCGTTATTTATTGTTTTTTTCCAACCCTGTTTATGAAAGTGGCTTTTCATGAAAGTGAGGCTACTGAAGAGAAGGCCGAATTTTATTTTCCGATTTTCTTGGAATATTTCGTAAAGCATGCCTGCTCGGATCTAAAATAGCTAACTAAAATGAAAATGTTGAAAACGATAGTTGAGATTCCAAAGAGCATACGAAAACAAGTTAGGTTATAGAGAAGAGAAGTAAGTGGCTGTCAAACAAACATTTTCTTAAGGTTGTACCTGATGAAAGAAAAACGTCCAGGCTCCGCCCCCCTTTTCGCGTTCATATTTTGCACCCCTTTCACCGCGTCATCCCTACTATCTGAGAGCCTGGAACAGGCTATAAAAAACGCGGTATGTATTTTCTAGTCTTAAAACAGATTGATCCTCAGGAAACCAGAGACAGCTCAGAGGGTATACGCACTAATTATCGGTGGGGGAGAGTTTAAAAGCAGACGGGAAGATTCCCTGGGCATTTAATCTAGCCCAAGCAGCTGCAGGAGAATTTACTGTTTGTTATACAGATATTTTTCTGGCAAATGAGCTAAAGGCGTTTCGTTTTCGTGTGTTTTTAAAAGGGGGGTTTTTGTCATCTTTCGCCTCTTTTATATGATGCTTGTTCCGCGGAGAAGGCGCAAGATTTTATATGCCCCCAAGAAAGTATTTCATTAGATTCAGTTGGGTTCTACAATACGTTTCCCTTTAGTACTCTTCGTGGTCGCGATTTTGCACCAGAGGAGATGGCTGATATTTTGGTCAACCATTGCACGGGCTGCTCGGGCTACAAGGGATCAGCTTGGTTGGCTCGATATAAATCTCCTGCTTCAAGATATAGTCTGATTAAAATACAAACAGCAAAGGAAGGAAACTAAAATAAAGTAGAATATTCTCACTGCATTCGATTGGTCCTTGACGCGAGAATTAAGTAAAGCCATTAAATTCCGTCGTGTTGGTCGTGCGCCCTCGTGGTGTGTACATTGCGGCCCTTGGTTAGAATTGATTAGTTTTTGCCTGCCTCTTGGCTAGTTCAACGGGGTGCAGTGGAAGTGACTTAGAAGTTTCGTCCCTCCCACCTACCCTGATGGCGGTTGACGTCGCTTACCCTCATTATTCGGCATCCCTATTGTCCTGGTAGTCGCGGTTGCCTCCTATAACTTAGTTCCCCGTGTCGGAACAATAGGTATGCAGTGCGAATGTTATACGAATCGCATTTAAGCTGAAAGTGATTCAATACTTTACTGAATTCTTAGCATGTAAATGATTTCCTCAAAGTGTAAAGGTTTTGCTATTTGTTTGACTTTGAAACCTCTGTGTTAGAGATATTCAGGTAAAGCATTTAGCTCAGCGAGCGACAGAAGCATGTTGATCGATGGCTAGAATAAAACGTGTAAAGAATACATACGAAAGGGAACCGTGATGATTAGTTTTTCTATTTGCAGGTGCATTTGATAAGAGCAGTTCGAAAGATGGCGAAGGTGCAACGGAAACAAAGAGCTTGTAAACTGAGAGCAAACATGTCCTTTAAATTGACAACTAATGTCACAGTTGTACATAAATGTATATACCTATGATCTCAATGAACTAGTCTTGTCTGAGACCTCAAAGTGAACAGGCGATAATTGTAGTTTTTAAAGCAGGCGTCATTTTGAAGCTTGAGCTGAGCGCGGAGCACAGGGAGAAAGCGGGAGGGGTAGGCAGGACCAGTTAGTCGTCCTTATAGTGGAGACTTCAAAGTTGTTTAGACCTTCTGAACCTACGTCTAGTACATTAGTCAGGACTTCTTTCGTTCTACGTCACTTCTGCTACTCTCGTCAATCTTGCTCTTCACGCTTGCTTCAAATGAACTCAATCACTTATACATGTCTAACATGAACACGAATATTACGGCTGATTTACAATGACGCGTTTTTGGCTTAGCACGTTAACGCACGTAAATTTTAATCGCGTAAATAAAATAGAGGCAAGACATAAAGTGTTGAGATTAAACGTGAAGTTGAGCGAGGTTCTATTTTTTACGCTTACGTGCAGCCTTTCATACATTGCCTCTATTTTCTTTGCGAATGTAAATTTTACGCTCCTACGCACAAGACAGTGGAAATCAACCCTTACATTGGTTTGATAAACTTTGTAAATGTACCGATCTCGACGAACGAGATGAAATGCCAAATAGATATCTAAGCTAAGAAAGGGACGCAAGTGTTCTCTGGAATTAAGTGCTCTTTGCTATGGGCACCCAACGACGGTGGTTTCCTCTTAAATACATCGAAAACACTTTTTAGGCTATCCAAAGTGCTTTTTTAATAGATCTCTAGAAACACATTCTATATCTTCTCGGTCATCCTAGAGGCGCTTGAGTCTTTTCGACATTACAAGGGCTTTTGTATTATTGTCCCCAAAATTAGCTGTCCTCAAATGATAGAAAATTCTAGGCTATGTTTGCTTTTCCGGACAGAAAACGGTCGTTGGGTGCCCCTGATTTGCGTCAATACGACATTAACGGTATTGCTTTTAAGCTTTTTTTTAACAGTGGCCGATCCAGACCTTCAGATAATGAGGGGGGGGGGCAGTCATCTAGACCCTGAGATAAGGGGGGGCCCGGTCCCCCCCCCAAAAAAAAATTTTTTAGCCCTTCGGGCCTCATTTTGGTCGGAAAATAAGGGGGGGCATGGGCCCCCAGGGCCCCTCCCCTGGATTCGCCACTGCACAATGTTTCATTGTCTTAGAGTAGTGACAGTGTTTAGCGGAAAGTTCTAAAACAATTCAGCATGATGGTGAGTCTTAGAGGCCTCAAACGGAAAAAGTGAATAAACATGTTTGTGTCCTCTAAGACTCGCCATCATCATATCGAAAGACCCCCCATTTAACTGATAAGACTTAACAACTCACGCGATGTACGAAATTGTATTCTCCCGTTTTGAATCAGGCGTTTTCCAATCCTCTGCCCTGCCCTGTCATACCTGCTAGGGCTGATCTTCTTTTCTTTTTTTTTTTTCAAACGTAAACTGACACCATTGAATGGGTGGGTGCTCACTAGAATTTAGAAGTAGGGATTTATCTGAGTTGGTCCTCTTACAGCATTATGAACCCGGTTCAGTTTTGAAACGGACTTGAGATCTTTAGAATGTCGGCAAATTCTAAAGTCTTTCCAGGTATGTCATTCTGGTTTCTTTAGAAAGGAGCCGGCCTATCAATCAGTACAGCGTCTTTGTGTAATTTGTTAGCTTATTTCCATTAGAACTTTACGCCTCTGACTAGAGGACTGTCATAAATAGTGTAGGTTAGCTGTTTTCTGAGCTAAAGCGCTCATCAAATAACTTTGTTTTCAAGAGAAGAGGCTAGTTAGTGAACAAGGTTAGTTATTTGTTGCTCAAAATATCTGAAAGTTTAAAAAATAGAAAATCTAAACGCCGTAACTATTCTTCAGTAAGACGATGTGACTTTCAGTTTCCAGTAATGAGTCACATAATAACAACAAAACATGACCAGCTACAATATTTTAACCTGATTCTGTCAGGACTTGTCGTTAGTGTTCCCCGTGGAATGGTGGGATGGAACGCTGGATGTAAAATCTAGTAGAGGGACTAGTGCTGATTCCTCCGGGATCCGTCCCCATTCGTCTCACCAGTCTCTCCCCAGCTCCCTCTGAGAGAGTTTAATTATTAAAGAGAGAATCGCGCAGGAAATACGCGCATGAGAGCTGGGAAGGAAGAAGCGGGAAGACGATTACCTATTCAATTAGACAATGACCTTTTGCAATCACATTTTGTCGAGTTCGAGTGCCAATCTCCCGCGGCCGATTCGCGACCGCATATGAATGATGGGGAGGGGACCACTGTGGACAAGCCTCCACAGCGGTCAAACGAGAAAAATTTTGAAACCTAATCAAAGTATTACAACTTTGAAATCAGCCTTGCTTCTTTCCGTTGTTCAGATATTTTAATTTATAGCTGATTAGATCCTCTATTTGGATCCGGTGCTTCTATTTTGTAACGTTGGTCCTTGGAAGCATACAACATATAAGTACCAATGCGCTGTTGATTTACTAACTGTTTTGTAAGTTTAATAAAAACGTTAGAGGTGTTTAAGAACTTAAACAGGTGATACTGTCCGTCAGCAAAATTTACTCCAGTGCAAAGCGTTTTCAACGGAAGCAAGCTCAATATTTTGCGAAAAAATGAAAACTTTGTTAAATTGAGTGGTCATTTTGTACATCCTTGCCCATGTTTCCATTTAATGACGAACGACATCCCAGACGAAAGTCATACGTCGCAAAATTAACACGATAACTCAAAATAACCGCCATTTTTTGTGCGGGCATGAACGCGCGCGCAACAACAACATGGGCTCAAAAAAACCTCAGAACAAATGTTGTGACTGTTTGTCCGAGGAATAAACGTCAAGCAAACTCTTGGAGATTCAAGACTAACAGCTCCATTTGCTTGTGTTTTTGAACGCCTCAGTTAAATAGTTAGCAGGGAGACTGATGGGAACGCTGAATGTGAAATCTGGTGGAGGGACTGATTACCAGTCCCATTCGCCTAACTTGTCTCTCTATTTTATTAAATATTAACGGAGGAAGCGCATAGGATATGCGCACGAGGAAAGATGGGAAATAAATATTTCCTCTCTCTTTCCCCTTCATCGAATTTCCGTGCCAGCCCCCCACAGGTCGATAATGCAATGACTTTTTAACAAGATCACATTTTTCCGCGCATGATGAGAGCTAAGGAAAACGCGTTTTGGAGCGACACACGTCAACCCATCTCCCAGAATGAGATGATGCATCCGGGACCTTTTAGCCAGTCAAACAAAAGGTAAAACAGCCGAAAATAGGTTAGCAGAACCTACATCAGGCGTGTTAGGGATGCAC